ACTACAGAACCCTTAGCACACAGTCATGAGTAAGGACCCTTTTTTATACGGAACCCTTGATCATAAATTCTTGATACGGGCTCTTGAACAAGAAACCCGCAGTGAGGAATTCGGAATAAGGAACTCTTGGCCAAGAGCCCTCAATCATAAATCCGCCGGCCCCCTTGTGGGGCCACCAGGCTGTAGGCGCGGGTTCGCAGTTACCTGTGTCAGTTGTAGCTTGTAGTTTCCAGTGTTACAGTTCTGCTTCTTGCTGGAAACTGTAACTAGTTGATTGACCGCGCGAGGGGGGGGAGGCCCAAACCAGATATTTAGCACCTCCTGGGCGCGTTGTCTGAATTGCTGGGGGGGCTCGAAATCGACACCACTCATGCAGATCCGCGGGGTCAGGGTACAAAAACACAGGGGATTTGCCACATTTCTGAAATTCGGTGCCACCCCTCACGCAGATCCGCGGGGTCAGGGTCCAAAAACACAGGGATTTGCCACATTTCTGAAATTTGGTGCCACCCCTCACGCAGATCCGCGGGGTCAGGGTCCAAAAACACAAGGGATTTGCCACATTTCTGAAATTCGGTGCCACCCCTCACGCAGATCCGCGGGTCAGGGTCCAAAAACACAAGGGATTTGCCACATTTCTGAAATTCGGTGCCACCCCTCACGCAGATCCGCGGGGTCAGGGTCCAAAAACACACGGGATTTGCCACATTTCTGAAATTCGGTGCCACCCCTCACGCAGATCCGCGGGGTCAGGGTCCAAAAACACAGGGATTTGCCACATTTCTGAAATTCGGCGCCACCCCTTACGCAGATCGCGGGGTCAGGGTCCAAAAACACAGGGGATTTGGTACATTTCTGAAATTCGGTGCCACCCTTCACGCACATCCATCGCAAGGCGTGGTAACCCAAACTGCGAGAACTCCCTCGGCCCTTTAATCGCAAGGTGTGGCAACCAAGCCCGTAAACCATACACGTCTTACCAATCGCCAGGTGTGGTAACCCCTCTTGTGATCGGTTGGTTTTGCTGATTGCGAATCGGCTTCGCATGAAGTTTCGATACTGCTTCACGACAGCGCCAAGGCCTCATGACTTAGCTCTTCCATGGCCCATTCTCAGAGAGGGGGCCGGCGGCAGGGGGCGAAGCCCTTACGGATAATTCCTTGATAAAGGAACCCTCAATAAGGAGTACTTACTTCAAATCCAAAGTAGGGAACACCGAGAAATCATTAGAAACCCGACAGCAGATAAACTTGAGAATGAATCCTTGAAGAGCAACCCTGAATAAACAACCCGAAGTGAGGACTCCTTGTACAAATAACCCTTGAGAGGAAAGCCAAGCTATGGGATCCTTGGCAAGGAATTCTTAATGAGGAATCCTTAGAAAGGAATACCTGGCAAAAGGGCCCCTTGATAGGGAGCCTTTAACAAAGATTCCGTGGTAAGAAGCCCTGAATAAAACGGTTCCTTACTCAGGGAATCTTCGTCAGGAACCCGTGCCAAGGAGTCCTTCGTGAGGAACCATTGGTGATAAATCCTTGGTGCGGAACCCTTTACCGAGAAATCCGTATCGAGGACTTTTTATGGAAGAGTCATGGGTAACACATGCTTTGTGGTGGATCCATCTTAGGGGCTCCTTGGTAAAGAACCCTTAGTGAGGAACCCCAGTGAGAGAAACCCTAACAAGGAGCCCTTTCTGAATGAGGATCCCCTAGGAACTATTTGTGAGGAGTCCGTACTAAGGAGTCCTTACTAGAGAGTCCTGAGCGAGGAGTTCGCCCGAAGGAGTTCTTCCAGCAGAATCCTGAGCGAGGTACCCTTAGTAAGGAATCCTTGGAACACATCGTGCTGAATATTGCACATACATATACATATATATATATATATAGATATATGTAGGTGTGCATGCATCTATAACATATAGTTGTGTATACATACATACATACACCAAGGGTTTCTTGGTAACGAACCCTTAGTGAGAAGCCCTTGACGAGGAATGCTTAAGGTGGAACTCTTGCTACATAATCCAAATCGGGGGGTTCTTCGTTTGGAACCCGTACTGCGGAATCCTTCGTGATCCTTAGTAAGGAACCCTGGGTAAACAATGTAAACACATTAGCCTGGCAAACGGCCCAACCAGATGCAGTTGTGAGTACCGCAGTTGTAAATATAGTCCTCGGTGAAGCTCCTTATGGGGCCACGAACTGTGTGTGTGGGGCCTGCCACAGTGGTGGTGGTGGGGGAACCGCATGCGGGCCCCCCCACTGGGGCCCCCCACTGATGCCTACGGTGGAGCTCCCTGTGGTGCCACGAAGCGCTGCCCTGGGTGGGGGAACCGCATGCGGGCACCCCCACTGGGGCCTGCGGTGGAGCTCCCTGGGGGGCCACGAAACGCTGCTCTGGGTGGGGGAACGGGCACCCCCACTGGGGCCTTCGGTGGAGCTCCTTATGGGGCCACGAAGCGCTGCTCTGGGCGGGTGAACCGCATGCGGGCACCCCCACTGGGGCCTTCGGTGGAGTTCCCAATGGGGCCACGGAACGCTGCCCTGGGTGGGGGAACCGCATGCGGGCACCCCCACTGGGGCCTTCGGTGGAACCCCCATGGGGCTACGAAATGCTGCGCTGGGTGGGGTAACCGCATGCGGGCACCCCCACTGATGCCTACGGTGGAGCTCCCTGTGGGGCCAAGAAACGCTGCCCTGGGGTGGGGGAGGCGCATGCGGGCACCCCCACTGGGGCCTGCGGTGGAGCTCCCTGGGGGGCCACGAAACGCTGCCCTGGGTGGGGGAACCGCATGCGGGCACCCCCAGTGGGGCCTTCGGCGGAGCCTGTGGGGCCACGAAACGCTGCCCTGCGCGGGGGAACCGCACGCGAGCACCCCCACTGGGGCCATCGGTGGAGCTCCCTATGGGGCCACGAAGCGCTGCCCTGGGTGGGTGAACCGCATGTGGGCACCCCCACTGGGGCATTCGGTGGAGCTCCCTATGGGGCTACGAAGCGAAGCAAGGAGGGGGAGGAAGGAGGAGGTGGGACACGGGGCGCTGTCTCTTCAAAACGAGGACCCAACACCACAGGATGGTTGGGCACTCTGGGTGATATGTACTTCGGATTCCTTGGTAAGGAATCCGTAGTGAGGAGCCCCCGACGAGGATTACTTAGGGAGGAACCCTTCGAAAGGAATCCTTAATCAGGAGCCCTTAGTAAAGGAATGCTGAACCACAAATCCATGGCGAGGACTCCATATCTTTGCTGTGGATTTCGCCAGAATCGGCGGAGCGACACGCTAAGACAGAATTGCACACCGTATTCGTTTTGATCTCCCACACCAGTGCCCGGTGTGTTTTGCAACTGGAGGGCCCCCCTCAGCTCTCGCATCCTGTATTTCACAATGGTACATTTTCCTGCTCGACTACCATACCCCACTCACAGCTCATGATGGAGTCGTGCTCTCGCTCGAGACTTCGCCGCGATTCGCTCCATCCTATGGCTCGCGTTTGCACATGTATCATGATTCCTGATTCGTGCTCTCGCCGCTCTGGGATCGTGCTCTCGCTCAGCACCTCCCCACAATCCGCTTCAGGATCGCGCTCGCGCCCGAGACTTCCCCCAAACCCACGGAAGAGCCGCGATCGAACGCTTCGCCAGCCGGACCTCCCCGAAGTGGGTCCGCCTGCCCAGCCCGCCCGGTAGTAGGGTCCGCTGGGCCGAGTGCCTGGAAACCCGCCCGCCCGCTTGGATCCTGCGCCCACTCAACCCGCTCGTCCCTGCCGCCGCGACCACGGAGCCTGCAAGGGAAGCATGAGGAGGAGGAGGAGGAGGAGGAGGACGGGGAGGGGAGGGGAAGGGAGGATGGGGAGGGGAGGAGGAGGAGAGGAGGAGGAAGGAAGGGGAAGGAGGAGGCGGAGGAGGAGGAGGAGGAGGAGGAGGAGGAGGAGGAGGAGGAGCAGGCTGCCGCGAGGGGCGTCGCCCGCCCGGCCCGCACGTCAAGGTCCGCCAGGCCGAGCGCCTGGAGACCCGCCCGCCCGATTGAATCCTGCGCCCTCTCAGCCCGCTCGTTCCTGCCGCGAGGGCGTCCCCCGCCCGGCCCGCACGGTGGGGTCTGCCGGGCTGATTTTGCCCGCTCTCGCCCCGGCGACGACTCTCGACGACGACTTTCGACGACGACTCTCGGCGACGACTTTCGACGACTCACGACGACGACGACTCACGACGACGACGACGACGACGACGACGACGACGACGACGACGACGCCCTCCCGGCCCGCTCGTTCCCGCCGAGAGGGCGTGAGTCCCCGCTTCTGTCGTCGCGCGACCCCGTCCGATCTTGAGCGTTGTCCTCTGCTGCTGGGAATCTCGGGCGTTGTCAATCTTCGAGGGGCAGCGAAAATAGGCCGACTGGCATAGGAGGGGGGCATCGATCTGGAATCGGCGATACATCGCCGATGGATCGGCGGTGCGCCCCCGATAGCAAATCCGCACGTTCCTGGGCGGGGTGGGGCTATCGGATCCTTATCGGCGTGTTCGGCCTCCAGAGGCCGCTCCCAGGCCCCAGGACCGTCGAACACTGACCCAGACTGCGGAAAAGACGGCCCCGGCGAAGCGGCCGAGACCCCCGAGGGCCGACTGCACAGCGAACATGCCACGTCGGGGGTGGAGGATCCTGATGGAGGGACAGGAGCGATGCCCACAGGGCTGGACCTAAACGGTGTTCTGGTGACTTCGTGGGCCGTTTTCGTTTCGACTTCGTTCTGCGGCAAAGGCGGGTTGAAGACACAACGAGGGAAAACGGAAAGAAAACGAGAACGAAAAACACCGCTTAGGTTCAGCCCTGGATGCCCATGACTAAGACTGAACGTTGCAACGTCGGTGTCGATCGTGGCCATCATCCGTCTCGGTCGCCGTCAACCCGTGGACCATCCCCCGAGAATCGGCGACGGCCGGCATGGACCGTGACCGAGATCGGCGTCCGCAAGGTCTCACGACGTCTTGTCACTGGCACGCCCGCGCCCGTTCGAACCTGCCGCGCTTGGTCTCCCTCGAGCCTGCCCCGCGGTCGCCAGCTTCTGCACGCCCTGGCTGTCCTGGAGCCCCGACGCCACCTTCGCGGTGGTCTGCTCGGCGGCGAGCCCGGGGGGGAAGCGAGAAGGGGCGGGCCTCCTCAGAGGGCTCGGAAGCCCCGCGGCCTTCCGAGAAGTTCGCTCGGCCCTCCCCCGAAGACGCAGGACCCCCCTCAGAAGGCGCGAGGGCTTCTGAGCAGCCCCGCCGCCTTGCGAGAAGGCCTTCTCCTTCCCCCTTTTCCTTCCTCCTCCTCCTCCTGCTCCTCCTGCTCCTCCTGCTCCTCCTCCTCCTCCTGCTCCTGCTCCTCCTCCTCCTCCTCCTCTCCTCCTCTCCTCTCTCTCCTCTCCTCCTCCTCCTCCTCTCCTCCTCCTCCTCCTCCTCCTCCTCCTCCTCCTTCCTCCTCCTTCCTCCTCCTCCTCCTCCTCTCTCCTCCTCCTCCTCCTCCTCCTCCTCCTCCTCCTCCTCCTCTCCCCTCCTCCTCCTCCTCCTCCTCCTCCTCCTCCTCCTCCTCCTCCTCCTCCTCCTCCTCCTCCTCCTCCCCTCGCCCGCCGCCGCTCTGAGCCGTGTGCGCGTAGGACGCGTAGATGCGCCCGCGGATCCCGTCCGCCGCCTCTCCGCGGCGCGGCACGCGGCGGCGGTTGACTACCTACCAGACCACCCCAACCCAACCCGAAGACCCGAATTTCGGGTTGGGGGGGGTAAGGGTTCCACATGTGTTTTTTCGATGTTTCCCGACCCCCCCTCACTGGAAATCGAGGGTAAATCTGGGCCTTCGGGTTGGGTTGGGGTGGTTTGGTGGGTGGTGAGGTGGTGCGCGTGCGGAGCGGGCCGGCCCCCCGCGAGCCTCGCTTGGCCTTATGTCGGGCGTGTCCCCCTACAGGGGGAGCTTCGACGACAAATAATAAAAAATACCCCAAAATAAACAAAAAATGCTCCAAAAATAGTCGGGGGACTATTTTTTGAGCATGTTTTGACCTTTTGGGGGGATTTTGGGGGTATGTTTCAGTTTTCGTCGAAAATCCCCCTGTAGGGGGACACGCCCGACATAAGCTTGGCCGCTCGGTTCTTCTCAAACCTGTCCTGGGCGATTTTCCCTACACAGAACAGCCAAAAACACAACTCCACTACGTAAAGCACCGTTGTTCACCCGGCGTGCTGGGCATCCCTCCCTGGCGTTTTCCAAGGCTCCATCAAGAGAGCTAAGACGCCGGTGGGGACAGGGATGGGTTCGATTCACCCACCCTATATCCCCACCGGCGTGGTCTGGGCCCCACTCGCCGATGTACCCCCGTAGCTGGGGATTCGTGCTTCGAGGGGCGTATATGCCCGACTGGGATGGTGGTGGGATGGGGGGCGGGGGGGGGGAAGATCGGGCTGGGGATGGGGACGCGGATCGGTCAAGCGATGCGGCTCGGAGGAGGCAGGGGGAGCCACTTGGAAGGCGCCCCGAGGGCCTCTTCGCGGAGGGCGGCCTCCGCAGAGGGCGGTGTGAAATAAATAGTGTCAGTGCTGATCTGTAAGCAGTGTAGCATATGTGCTAATATTCAGACGGAAGGTAACATGCCCTTTCGTAACTATTTGGGCTCAATCTTTTGAGGGCCCTTGAGCTTGGGCGTATCGGTAGACACCTCTGCAGGTGCCGCTAAGCAACATACCATCGCCTATCATTGCTGATATATTGCTGACATATTTTCGTCATTGCTGACAACGACAACCTCGCGGTTATCATCGCACTCAGACCCCTCATCGCAGTATCGGGTCTGCATTGGTAGCTGGAGCAAACTCGACCACGGCAGCTACGTGCGCGACTTCGCAGAGTCACTTAGCAAGCACTACAGGCTCGTAATTTGGATTGCGACTGTACCTGTCATTCGAGGTCGCCACCATGGCGACGGCAGGAGGAGCCGCTGCAGCCAGCGGCGAGGACAAGAGCAACGGGGGCAAGATCCCCGTACCCGTCTTCGATGGCACGAATAAGACCATGAAGAAGTACCGCCGAGAGGTCGCCACCTGGCAGATCGGGACCGAGGTCAAGCCGCCCAAGCAGGGAGCGACCTTGCTGGCCAGCCTGAAGGGCAAGGCCGAAGAGGCGTGCGAGGAGCTCGACCTGGACGCCATCAAGGGCGACGACTCAGTGGAGGTGTTCCTGGAGTACCTCGGGAAGCGCTTTCCCGAGATCGAGGTGCTGGAGACCCCGGCGCTGCTGGAGACCTTCGTGCGCCCGGCCTGCGTCCGGCACAAGTACGAGGAGATCCGCGACTACAACAACCGCTTCAATGGGATCGCCACCAAGCTGAAGGCCAAGGGCATCCAAGTGCCCGACGAGGTCTTGGCGGACCTGTACATCAAGGGGGCCCGCCTGCCCCCGGAGCGCGCGGCGAGCGTGCTCAACGGCGTGGGCAATCAGTTCAACCCCACCAAGATCCAGGAGCAGTTGATGATCAACTTGCCCAAGGTATCGGTCGTGGACGGCAACAAGGACAGCCGCGACAAAGGAGGCTACGGAGGTCACAAGAACAAGGACCACAAGCGGGCGTACGCCACGGAGACCTACGAGGAGGATCGTAGGGCCGAGCTCGACGGCGCGTCCTCAGACAGCTCCGACGACTACGAGGACGAGCTGCCCGACGAGCTGCAGGACGTGATCGACGAGGCGGAGGAGCAGGTAGCGTTCTTCACCAAGAAGATGGTGCGCGCCAAGGACAAGCTGAAGGAGGCGAAGCAGGCGCGTGGCTACTTCGCCAAGCGCGACGGCGGCAACCCGCCGAAGAGAGACGATCCCAATATCGCCAAGATGAAGGCAAGGACACACTGCGGCGCATGCGGCCAGAAGGGCCATTGGCGCGGTGACCCGCAGTGCTCGAAGAGGAACGACCCCAACGCCAAGGCCGACATCCCGAAGAAGGGAAGCAACAGGACGAACATCGCCACGCACGAGACCAGCGACGCGCAGGAGCCTCACGTGGCGGAGATGACGGTCGCGGCGGTCTACCAGCAGGACCAGCGGGCCGCGGCTCGCGACAGGAAGTACGACGCGCTGCACAGCATCGACTGGACGCAGATCCGCCAGGCCGCCGAGCTACCCGAAGAAGTTACGGCGGCGGCGTTCTTCATCAATAAGGACCACCAGTGCCTGATGGCCGCGACGAGCTCGGGAGGCAAGGAGTCGGGAGGCAAGCTGACCTTCGACACGGCCTGCACTCGGTGCGTCGGCGGCCTCGACTGGCACAGCGACATCAAGAAGAGGCTGGCCGCCTTCAACATCCAGCCCATCGAGTACCCCGAGAAGGAGCCGTTCCGGTTCGGGGCGTCGAAGGTGGTGTTCAGCCTCAAGGCGGCGCTGATCCCCTGTTCGGTGAACGGCAAGGCCCTTACCGTCCGCATGAGCATCGTGCGCAGCGCCGTGCCAGGACTGTTCAGCCGTAAGGCCCAGAGCGAGCTGGACATCGTTTACCACGCCAGAGACAACAAGCTGGACATCAAGTCGATCGACGAGCACGACATCCAGATGGGCCTGAGCCGCGCCGGACACCCGACGCTGGACACCACAGGCTTCACGCCGGGCTACAAGCCCGTTTCGGACGTCTCGGATACCAAGGCCGAGATTCGTCTCCACCCTTGTGCTTCTTTCCACGCTGAGACAGCTGTGGCCAGCGCCGCCAAGCCGGTGGTGCCCGAGGCTCGCCACCAAGGGGTAGCCTCGGAGGCCGACGAGTCTCAGTCGGACACTGACTGCGACGCGCTCGATAGCGCCGAACTGTTCGAGCAGCAGGTGCGCCAGGCCATGAGCGCATACATTCCATCACGTCAACCGTCGTCGGGATCGGAAGACGAGGCCTGGGGAGTGTGTACTAGGTCAGTCAGCACAGCACAGATTATGCAGACAAACCACGATCATGACGAACGAGGAGCTAAACCTCGCAGCGATCCTCCGTCACGGCATGTTCGATTTCAGCAGCAAGGAAACCGTAGCGAGCCACGAGATCAGCCATAAGCACGCAGTCATCAAACTACATCATCACCGCAGCCATCCGGCTCGAGTTCAACTGTGGCTCCACCAGCGAATACGACGCGTGCCGTGGCAGATCCAGCCACCGCAGCTTTCCACGAACCAGCGGCCGGCGCTTATGCCCCCGTCGCACCAGCGATGTACGACATCTCCCAAGGAGACGAGCCCGGGGGGCAGCGGCCAGAACTTGCCGACGACGAGTACTGCCTGTCTCCAGGCGAAATCCAGCATGCGGATGCCGGAGCTGCAGGCCGAGGTGGCAAGCTACGACTTGGATGTGCGCGACGCCACGTGCCACGTGCGACCAGCTCCGGGTGATCTTGCGTGCGCTGAGGGCCGAGGGCCGCGAGAGCACGCCGCAGGACGACTACATCCTGGGGCTCGGCAAGAAGAACAAGGAGGAGCTCCAGCAGCTGTGCCGGGACCGCCAGATCGAGTTCGACCAGCGCACGACCGTGCCGGAGCTCAGGCAGCGCCTCAAGGGCTGGAAGGTCGAGGACGCGGCCAGCAGTGCCTCGGCAACGGTGGCTCATCCGAGCTCGCAGATCACCGGGGCCGACAAGATGCGCTTCGGCAAGTACCCCACGGCGGACTACCGCTGGGTGCTCAAGAACGACCTGGGCTACGCGCAGTGGGGGGCAGTCCTGGAGCTCAACAGCAACCGGGCAAGCCCGCTCCTGGCGCGATTCGCCAGGTGGGTCAAGGCGCACGGAGTGCAGCCCCTTCCCCCGGAGAAGGCCAAGACCACCTTGGAGGTAGTGATGGCCGAGGAGGTGGTGCTGGACGACGAGTGTTTGGCGCCAGCGGCGACGACCACGAGGGCCTCAGCAAGCCAGGGGAGCTGGGCCGGGCATCGGCGCCAGCGTCCTCCGGAGCCGCACGAGATGGACACCTGCGACATGGGCTTCGAGAAGGCGGGCGAGACCGACAAGGGGGATCCCCCGAGCGGCCCCCGGGAACCTCAGCAGAGCCGAGACTAGGCGGCGGTGGCCGCCAGGACGGGTCGCCAGCCCCGAGGCGGCGGCCAGGCATCAAGAAGGGCAAGCGCGTCGGCCTCCTCTACCAGGTCACGGGCTTGCTGAGCGCCTTCGCCTTTCAGACGGTGCTCACCGCGGACTGGCTGGCTAGACCTCTCAAGCCAGTGGTGCAGCATGCCACCAGTGCTGCGCGAGACGTGGTCGACCACGTCCAGAACGTCAGGGAGGCCTACAACGTTCGCAGCCACCGCGTGGACGTCATGCAAGTGTTCGGAGGCGAAGGCGGCATTACCGAGGCGGCGTGGAAGCGCCAGATGACGGCCACAGAGGTGATCGACCGCAAGTACGGATGGGACTTACGCAAGCAGAAGGACCTCGACGCGACGTACGACCTGCACTACGCCTCAAGGCCGAAGTTCGTGTCAATCGAGCTACCTTGCACTCACTACACGAACATCACGCACCTCAACTTTCGGACGCCGCAGGCCAAGCAGGCGATCCGGCGGATCTGGAGGGCAGAGCGGCCGTTCCTTTTATTGGCCCGCGACCTCTTCAAGTACCAGCTCGACTCTGGCGACATGGCCATGATCGAGAATCCGGCCACCAGCTGGCTCTGGACACAGCGCGCGATTTTGGAGCAACTGGCGGACGAGCGCGTGTACCAGGTGAGGTGCGACATGTGCGAGTACGGAGCTCGACACTACAAGACGGGGAGACTCATCAAGCACCCCACGAAGCTGCTCGTTACCAACAAGGAGTTCGAGCAGCTGAAGCGCACCTGCAGCCACAAGCACCACGACCAGACCTTCGGGGACAACGTGGCGGTGCGCAAGTCTGGCGTTTATCCTGCTAAGTTCTGCAGAGCGGTGGTGCGCATCGTGGAGCAGGTCATTCGCCAGCAAGGTGGGCAGCGCGCCTACCAGGTGGACTGCCAGTCGCGCTCGTCGCCCTTCATCGTGACAGTGCCCAGGGGGCAGGCCACCGCCTACGTGAGCGACACCGCGCCCCTGGGAGAGACGGGCGAGCCTGATGGGGACCCAGACCTCATGGGCGGCGGAGACGACTTCGCCGACACTCACGACGTGCGGGCCGAAGATACTGTGGACGGCAGGATCGGGGTCGGCGCGATTACCTTCACAAAGAAAGCAGCGGCCTGCTGCAAGCCAGCCGAGCTGGCCATGCTCAAGAGACTCCATGTCAACTTGGGCCATCCGTCTAATGAAGATTTGGGCCGCAGTTTGCGACTCAAAGGCGCTAAGTCGGCCACCGTCCAGGCCGTCAAGGGGCTGATCTGCGGGGTGCGCCGCTCGCAGCAGCGCCCGAGCGCGAGGAGACCAGCGCACCTCCACTTCGTGCAAGATTTTGGAGACGACGTCGGCTTCGACTATTTCAAGCTCAAGGACGTCGACGGCAAGAGCTACTGGTACTTCAGCATCGTTGACCTGGCCACCACCTTCCACGTCGCGACGCTGATCGGTCGCCACACCAGCCAGGAATTCGCCGCCGCGTTCGAGAGGTGCTGGGCCTCCTGGGCGGGCGTACCGGACCGAGTCCACTTCGACGTGGAGAAGGGGTTCGGCGGCGCCCTCAGCGAGCTGTTCCAGTCATTCAACACGGTGCAGCTGCCCATCGCTGGTCAGGCACATTGGCAGCTCGGTCGCGTGGAACGCCAGGGAGCTTGGTGGAAGGAGCTCGCGGCGAGGACGATCGAGCACTCGTCGATCAGGGGCGAGGACGAGATGCGGACGCTGGCCATCATGGTCTCGGGCGCGAAGAACTCGCTGAGAAGGCGAGCAGGCTTCAGCCCAGCGCAGTGGGTGCTGGGACGCGACCCCAAGATGCCCGGAGACCTAGTGGACGATACGGCCAACTACAGCGCCCACAGCCTCGCGGCTAACGACGAGAAGATTCGCCGACGATATGCTATTCGGACGGCGGCGCGCGAGTCGTTCATGAGGATGCAGAACGACGACCAGCTCCGGCGAGCTATGTTGGCTCGCGCGCGCACGGTGGCGACGCCCTTGTCAGTGGGCGAGATGTGCTACGTCTTCCGCCAGGTCAAGAAGAAGGAGCAGCGGGAGCAGCACAACCGCAACGCCAAGAAGGGCATCTGGCGAGGGCCGTGCGTAGTCATCGGCCACCAAGGCGAGAACGCCTGGGTCTCGCTAGGAGGGCGCACCATGCTGGTGGCCCCGGAGCACATCAAGGCACTCGCTCCGGACGACGTTTGGTTCCCGAACGGCAGGGGCGAGATCGGTCAGGCCGTGGCCGAGCTCAACCGGGCTCGCGACTCGCTCGAACAGGAAGAGGCTCCGGTGGAGGACATCCGCCCGGCGCCTGGCGAGCCCGAGGTCAAGCCAGACGAGATGGAGCAGGCGTGGCGGGAATTTACCGACAGCCCGGACGACAGCGACCTCAGGCTGAACGTCTCCGAGGATCCGCCCCAGCAGGAGCAGATCCAGGTGCTGCCCGCCGACGTGCCGCAGCAAGCTGAAGAAGGGCGCACCCACGGCCCTGACGAGTTCCGACGACGTCGAGCTACCTTCGACGGAGGGGGCAGCGGCGACTTCGGCCCGGCCTTCAAGCGCCTCCAGACCGAGAGGGAGCACGCAGGCTCTGGCGCCCTGCCCGCAAGGGCAGCTTCGCGCGACCGCGCGGCGGCGCCCGATCAAGAGGCAGCAGCCGGACCCGAAGCAGAAGGAGCCCGCCAACGCTCGAGGTCGGCTCCAAGACAAGCACTGCAAACCTCCATCATGACCGAGAGGATCAAGCGCAAGCAGGCCGACAAGGAGATCCACTGGAGAGCCATCAAGGACTCCGATCGGGAGCTCTTCAGGGAGGCGGCCGCAAAGCAGTGGAGCGAGTGGCAGAAGTATGGCTCTTGTCAGGTACTCTCCATCGAGGAGTCCGAGGCGATCAGGAGCATGATCAAGCCCAGCCTCATCCTGCCCAGCCGGTTCGTGTACCGGGACAAGAACGCCCCGCTGCGGACCGACAAGCATCCGCTGCCGGTCAAGGCGAAGGCCCGACTCTGCGTCGGAGGTCACATGGGCCCGCGCCTCGCTCAGGGGGACCTGCGGACGGACGCGCCCACGGTCACCCGCAACTCGACCATGCTGTTCTTCACTATCTGCCAGAGGTTCGACCTGGAGATCTACGCGGCGGACGTGGAGGCGGCTTTCATGCAAGGAGACGAGCAGCCCGACCAGCAGCTGCACATGGCCCAGCCTCGCGAAGGTCTGCCTGGGCTCAACCCGAAGCAGCTGATCAAGATCCTCAAGGGAGTTTTCGGGCTGGCGACGGCACCGAGGCAATGGTGGGCGAAGCTCAAGAGGACCTTGCTCGCGGTGGAGGAGAAGCTGAACGACAACTACGTGTTTCGCCTACACCAGCACTCGCTGGACCCAGCGCTGTACTACGGCTACGACCAGCACGGGGAGCTCTGTGCGGTGGTGGTCGCCCACGTGGACGACTTGCTGCTGGGGATCTCGCACAAGTACCCGGGCCTCTACGACAGGCTTCGCAAGCTTTTGCCCTGGGGCGACTGGCGAGGCTTGCCTTTTACCTTTTGCGGCAAGCAGGCCTGGCGAGATCAAGAAGGAGTACTACATCTACGACAAACCGAGTACGCGAACACCATCGAAGAGATTCCGCTCAGCAAGGGGCGCAAGACGGAACTGTCGTTAGATGCTACGCCAGCCGAGTTCTCGGACAACCGCTCCGCACTCGGAGCGCTCGGGTGGCTTTCATCGCAGACTCGTCCCGACCTGGCAGCTGGAGTGGCCATGGGGCAGCGAACCCAGAACAAGCCCACCATCCAGGACTTGCTCGAGACGAACAGGCTCATCAAGCTGGCGCGGAAGCACGCGGACGTGGGTTTGGAGTTCCCCAAGCTACGTGGACCTCTGTGCCTGGTGACGTTCCACGACGCCAGTTGGGCCAACGCTGATGAGACAGCTGAAGGCGCCATCTCCAAGTTGCTCGCCAAGACCATGGGAGCAACCAGTAAGGACAAGAAGATCAAGATTCGCTCGCAGGCCGGCTACGTGAGTTTTCTCGCAGAGGCCAAGCTACTACGCGGAGATCGAGCTCGAGCAGGGATCGTTGATAGGAGATTGGGCACCATCAAGAGAGTTTGTAGATCTACGTTGGCAGCCGAGACGATGTCGGCAGTAGACGCTCTAGGCTGTGCTCAGATTACACGCTGTGTTTTCGCTTCGCTAGAGATTCTGGATGCCCATCCAGAGGACATCCCGCCGAGTCTGTTGCCGCTCGCTCAGGTCACAGATTGCGCCAGCTTGTACGATACGATGCACAAGGACGGTGATTCCAAGCTCCCGTCAGAGCGGCGCCTTTTGCTCGACCTAGTGGGCCTCAAGGAGTCACTAGAAGAGGAAGTTAGCAACGAGTTCGTCGCTGACAATCAGCGCAGCCAACTGCCTCTCTTTTGGGTTCCGACTGATCAACAGCTCGGTGATCAGTTCACCAAGCGATCGGACGGCAGTGCCATCAGGGCAGTGCTACGAGACACACGCCTCGCTTTGCAGCATCAAGAGCCGACTGACCAGGCCAGAGAGCACGAGGCACACCTGACCAGTGCCGGCTCACTTTTCAAGCGCACAGTGCGCCTGGTCTCATTTTAGCTCGTTGACGTGCCATTACCACGTCTAAATGCGCTATATCGGCAGACGCACAGATCAGAAGAATTTTGCACGAGTGTGAAATAAATAGTGTCATTGCTGATCTGTAAGCAGTGTAGCATATGTGCGAATATTCAGACGGAAGGTAACATGCCCTTTCGTAACTATTTGGGCTCAATCTTTTGAGGGCCCTTGAGCTTGGGCGTATCGGTAGACACCTCTGCAGGTGCCGCTAAGCAACATACCATCGCCTATCATTGCTGATATATTGCTGACATATTTTCGTCATTGCTGACAACGACAACCTCGCGGTTATCATCGCACTCAGACCCCTCATCGCAGTATCAGGTCTGCAGGCGGGGAGGGCCTCCAAGACGCCTCCCCCCGCCTTCTCGAGACTGCCTTCCTCGCCCTCGCCTGCGCACCGTCCCCCCCCCCCCCTTCCCGCTGCTCCTGCTCCTCCTCCTCCTCCTCCTCCTCCTCTCTCCTCCACCTCTTCCACCTCCTCCTCCTCCTCCTCCTTCTCCTCCTCCTCTCCTCCCTCCTCCTCCTCCTCCTCCCTCCTCCTCCTCCTCTTGATCCTCCTACGTATTCCTCCTGCTCCTGCTCCTCGTCCTCCTGAACCTCCTCCTCCTCCTCCTCCTCCTCCTCCTCCTCCTCCTCCTGAGGTCCGGGGTCCATCCGGGCCCAGTCTTTGTGAAGCCACGTGTCCAGCTGTGGCCAGGAGGGCCCGCCAGTAGGCGCCGAGAAAGGCAGAAAGCGTCAGAAGCCTGGCGGTCGAGGAGCTCCCGCTCTCAGCAAGCCGCCACTTCGACGCCCCACCCACTCCCTGGGTGGTTGCCCGTGGCGTCCCTGGCCCATGCTGTCCCCAGCTCCCCACGCCATCCCGGGAGCCACCTGGGCCTGACGCGAGGGGGGTTCTGGAAGCCGTCTGGGCCTCCCTGGAAAACCCCCTACATCTGACGTCATGACTTTCACCACGTGGCTCACGGGAGGTCTGGACCCCGTCTCTCGGGGACCGGCTCTCCGTCCTGCTTCGTTGTTGACGACTGCCCCGGGGCCCAGCGAGGGCCCAGCGAGGGCCGAAAACAACGAAACACCGCCGTCGTGCTCTTCTCGCGACGCGAGGATGTCGGGGACGCCGGGCCCACCTCGGGCCAGGGCCACCTCAGGCAGCACCCGGCCATACGCAGGAGCGACTCGAGTCAGGCAAGAGTGGCCCTTTGTGCGAGGCTGTGACGGGGCCGCTTGAGTGCCAAATCCATGCGCGCAGACCGGTGCTCCGCCTCCTCCTCCTTCTCCTCCTCCTCCTCCTACTCCCCAGTCTCCTTCTCCTCCTCCTCCTCCTCCTCCTGCTCCTCCTCCTCCTGGGGGGAACCCAGCTGGCCCGCATCAAATGGAAGGGAAGAAAACGGTGGCCATGAGACTGAACGCGGAAATGTCCTCCTCCTCCTCCTCCTCCTCCTCCTCCTCCTCCTCCTCCTCTCCTCCTCCTCCTCCCCATCTCCTCCCTCCTCCTCCTCCTCCTCCTCCTCCTCCTCCTCCTCCTCCTCCTCCTCCTCCTCCTGTAGGTGCCAGTCTCGGCCACCGTCAACTCGTGGATCATCTGCGCGAATCGGCGACGGCCGGCAAGACCACGGCCAAGACCGGCGTCGACTAGATCCCGCGACATCTTGGTCGTGGTCAGCGTTTTTTTCTTCCCTCGGCCACAGTGAAGGGGCCCCAGGACACACAAACAAATACACACAAATCAGAATATTCCCAAAATTTTCCCATCTTTTCTGGGTTTTTGTCTTCCCCCCCACTTCCCATATTTTCCCATATTTTCTGGGAATCGACGATTATTAGTGTCTGTGTGTGTTTTTTCCCCTCCTGACAAAGGTCGGCGACGCGCACAAGGGGGTAGGGACAGGGGGAAGCCTTCTTGGAAGGAGGCTGCTTCTTAGACGGCGCTGGCCCTACCTCTGCAGACGAGGCCCGCGCCCTCTAAGAAGCAGGGGTGCTTCTGAGACGCCTTCCTCCCTCTGCCCTACCCCCCTCCGCGCGTGGCCAAAGACCCAGACCCCCGACGTCGTGATTTTTGTTCGCAACGTCGACCCCCAGAGGTCTGGACCCCTTCCCCGGGACCGGTTTTTCATCCTGAATCATTTTTTGACAGCCCCGAGGCCCAGGAAGGGCCCCCAGAGGCCGAAAATCCTCCCGCTCTGTTTTTTTTCCCCAGCGCGAGGGGGTCTGGGGAGGTCCCTCGGCCCAAGGTTCCTCCAGATAGGGGTCACTCTTACGCGCAGCCGACGCGCGGCCGCTGAGGTCCTCGGCGTCCTCTGGGGTCGGGGCGACGTCCGCCACCAGGGCCGTCAGTGCGTCCCGCAGGATGAGGGCGCGGCGGGAGTGGCAGTCCTGCGGCTGCCCGCCAGGAGTGGCCCCTCTGCTCCTGCTGCTCCTCCTCCTCCTGCTCTTGCGCCTCCTGGGCCTCCTGGGCCTCCTGCGCCTCCTCGTCTCCCTCCTCCTCCTCCTCCTCCTCCTCCTCCTCCTCCTCCTCCTCCTCCTCCTCCTCCCTCTCTGCTCCTGCTCCTCCTGACCCTCCTGCTCCTCCTGCTCCAACTGCTCCTCCCGCTCCTCCTCCTCCTCCTCCTCCTCCACCTCCTCCTCCTCCACCTCCTCCTCCTCCTCCTTTCCTCCTCTTCCGCCTCCCCCTCCTCCCCCTCCTCCCCCCCCTCTCAGCTCGCCCCCGCCCCTGGAGGCCCGCGAAGGCCCTGTCCTCCTATCGCTCCGTCTCCCCTCTCCTCATGAGAAGATGAGACATCGGCATGCGTACACACTCTCGGGAGTCCTCCTCTTTGTCCTCCTCCTGCTCGACCTCGTCCTCGTCCTCGTCGTCGTCGCCGTCGTCCTCTCCTCCTCCTCCTCCTCCTCCTCCTCCTCCTCCTCCTCCTCCTCCTCCTCCTCCTCCTCCTCCTCCTCCTCCTCCCCCCTCTGCTTTCCTCCCTCGGCTTTCCTCCAACCGTGGAGGCCCGCGGAAGCCGGCATGAGCTGGTTCCGCTGGCGCTGGTTTCGCCGGCGCTAGTTTCGCCCCGCTGGTTTCGCCGACGGCTGGTTTCGCCAGCGCTGGTTTCGCTGGCGGTTTCGCCCACGCTGGTTTCACCGACGCTCGACCGAGCACGCGCGAGCCCCAACGGGCGGGTCGGGTCGGGCGGGCGGACCCTAGTGGGCGGGTCGGGTCGGGTCGAGCGGGCGGACCCTAACGGGCGGGTCGGGTCGGGCGGGCGGGACATCGAAGTATGGGGCGCGCTCGACCGAGCACGAGCGACCCGAAAGGGCGGAGCGGGCGGGTCGGGTCGGGCCAGGCGAACCCTGACGGGCGGGTCTGGTCGGGCGGTCGGGCGGGACATCAAAATGTGGGGCGCGCTCGACCAAGCACGCGCGAGCCCGAACGGGCGGGTCGGGTCGGGCGGGCGGACCCTAGCGGGCGGGTCGGATCGGGCGGGCGGACCCTAACAGGCGGGTCGGGTCGGACGGGCGGGACATTGAAGTGTGGGGCACTCTCGACCGAGCACGCGCGAGCCCTGACGGGCGGGTCGGGTCGCGCGGGCGGACCCTAGTGGGCGGGTCAGGTCGGGTCTGGCGGGCGGACCCTACCCTAACAGGCGGGTCGGGTCGGGCGGGCGGGACATCAAAGTGCGTTGCACGCTCGACCGAGCATGCGCGAACCCTGACGGGCGGGTCGGGTCGGGCGGGGGGACCCTGGCGGGCAGGTCGGGTCGGGCAGTTTCGCCGACGGCAGCTGGTTTCGCCGACGGCAGCTGGTTTCGCCGACGGAGCTGGCTTCGCCGACGGAGCTGGTTGCACCGGGCGGCGAAACCAGCGGGGCGAAACAGGCCGTCGGCGAAACCAGCGGTCGCCCGAAAACCATATCCTCCAATTGCTCAGTCTCACCATTCCCCATGAGAGCATGAGCGATCGGCATGCGTACAAACTTTCGGAGGTCCGCGCAAATTTATTGCATCGGGGCTGTACGGTGAGGGCATTGGATAAGGAACCAATGGATAAGGAATCCAGGTTCTCGAAGCCATGGATTGGCCATGGATATCACCGCCGCCCTTATTAGATAAGGAATCCTCCAGGGTCTGAAGCCCCCTGGGCACATTCTTTAGCGGACTCCCCCACTGTACCCCCTCCCTGGCGCGCGGAGCGCCCCCAGTGGCGGCGCCTGCGGCGTCGCCGTGCGGGTCCAGCGGCGGGCGTGGTAGCCCCTGCAGCTGCACGCAGGGAGTGACTCCACCCTCAGCTCTGGGCGTTGCGGAGGAGGAGGAGGAGGAGGAGGAGGAGGAGGAGGAGGAGGAGGAGGAGGAGGAGGAGGAGGAGGAGGAGGAGGAGGAGACGGCCGACTTTTGGTCCTCCTGGGATCGGTCGAGATCTCTGGGGCCCGGCGTCGCCAAACAACTGTGGCGTCGGAGGGGAGGGCTACCCCGATCGCTGCGTGCGATGCGGCAGCGGCGGCCTGCGTGCTTGAATCTGGCTCCTCGGAGCCCTTCGAGAGTCGCGCGTCAAGGGTCACTCCCGCGAGGGGCCACCCTTGCGTGCAAAGTCAGCCCGCTTCAGAAGCACGCGCGCTGAGGATGCAAGGGCCTTGGAGGGCCCTGCCGACACCTTGCGAGCGGGGCGCGGCCAGCGACAGCGGCCAAGGATGGGCCGAGGGGCAAGGAGGAGGAGGAGGAGGAGGAGGCCGAAGGTCCTGCACGTCCAGCGTGAACCAGTCCGGGTCGCTCTCGGACGCGACGCGGCAGTGCTCGACGGCCCGCATGTGGGCGGCCATCGTGGCGTGCATGTCGGCCATGAGCTTTCGCTCCTCGGCCCGGGGTCGTTTGGGCAGGGGCCACGGGGCCATCGAGAAGGCCCCAGCGCCTGACCGAAACGCACGCAGCCCGAACAAAAGCTGAGCGTGTCGACCGATCCCCAAGCCAGCTTGCGCAGAGCGACTCCATCGAGCACCCCCGTGCGGGCCCTCCAGACCAACGCGGCTGTGAAGAGCACCAAAGGGAAACGACAGGATCTGCTGGGCAGATTCTGTCAAACCCTCAGTCCAACATACATGTAATCACATATGACATATGACTTCGGCAAAGCCCTGAATAGCTTGTTGATCAACTCTCGCGGACTCGTATGTCGACAACCACGTAGGTCATATGCTGATCTCACGAGCACGACAGACGCTTGTGAGTCACATGCGCCACCAACGGAGCAGCATTCCGAGCCAAGACTGTGGCTGGCGCTGGGGCGAGACCACCATCTCGAAGCCAAAGCGCGGCCGGCACTGAGGCTTCCGCCCCGCTCCAAGCGAGGAACCGTGCCCGCGCTGACGCAGCACCATGCCGAGACGCAAAACCGCGCATCTCGTACCCGAAACCTGCCCCCGTGGCGAGCGGAACGGCTGGGCGACGGCCCCTGCCGCCTGCGGAGCCGCCGCGACGTCCTCTCCGCCGGGAGGAGGAGGAGGGAGGAGGAGGAGGAGGAGGAGGAGGAGGAGGAGGAGGAGGAGGAGGAGGAGGCCGCGCCAGCAAAGAGCTCTCTGCCGTGGGACGCCTTCCCTGCTGCCCCGGGGGGCTGCGGAGGGGCGTCCACTGGGCCTCCAGCGAGCCCTCGGGAGGTCTTCGAGACACCCCAGCAGGAGAGGGGCTGCTGTGGCCCAGAGCAGGGCCAACCCGTCGCCGGCAGTGGAAGAACAAAGACAGGGACGACAACTTTCGGGGGTCCTCTTCCTCCTCCTCCTCCTCCTCCTCCTCCTCCTCCTCCTCCTCCGTTCTCTCGGCTTTCCCCTACCCCTGGGGGCCCGCGAAAGCCATGTCCTCCAGTTGTTCCGTCTCCCTGTTCCTCATGAGAACATGAGAGATCGGCATGCGTACAAACTCTCGGAGGTCCGCGCAGATGTCTTCCCCTGACGTGGCGGGCGGAGCGCGCCAGGCGCGGCGCTGGAGGCGTCGCCAGGAGGGCCCAACGCCGATCCGAGAAGTCCGCGCGGACCTCCGAAAATCTACGTTCAGGCTACGGCGGGGGCATGCGATAAGGAACCCTTAGACAAAGGAGTCCAGGGCCTGGAAGCCAGTGGAGCATCAAGTGAGGCTTGGCCATGGATATCACCGCTGCCCGCATCAGACAAGGAATTCTCCAGGGTCTGAAGGCTCTTGGGCGCATTCCTTAACCAACGCCCCCGCCGTACAGCCGGGGCCTTGACCTAAGGAACCCAAAATAAGGAACGAGGCCCCTGTTTTCCGTAGGTGAAACTTCGACTCCCCATCGAAAACCTAAGGACAACGTGGGGTAAACTGCGAAACAATTAAGGAACACGGAGCCCCTCCCCAACGAAAAGAGTTCCTTCTTCAGCGCCCCGACTGTAGTCTGCCTCTTCCCAGGCCTCGGGCCCCGACGGCCCGCCGGCAGGGAGCCACCGGGGCCCGCGGCCTCGGCGCGCCTGAGCCATGGTGGGGCCTGCAGCGCGCCATGGCGGAACGTGGCTCGGTCCAGCGCCGGATACAGTCGGGGCGTTGACCTAAGGAACCCTAAATAAGGAACGAGGCCCCTCTTTTCCATAAGTTGAACTTCGATTTCGTATCGAACACTTAAGGAACGCGGAGCCCCTCCCCAACCAAAAGGGTTCCTTCTTCAGGGCCCCGACTGTAGCCCCGTTCGGGGATCTGCAAGCCCGGGTCAATCAGACCCGGGTCAGCAGGAAACCAACAACTGCAACGCAGGACACAAAGAAACTGCAACGCAGGGCTTCGCAGACCCGGGCCAGCCAATCTGCGCGGCTGCCTCGCGGCCAGGAGCGGCTCGCTAGCCAGGGTCAGCCAGAGGAGGTCTCCGCAGGATCCTGCAGGATCCGGTGCCCTGGCTGACCCCCCGTTTGCATTGACCCCCGTCTCAAGGCTCCCGACCTGTCTTACCCCGAGCAGCTCCGGACGTGGGGGGCCGCGCCACGGCGCAGCGTGATCCCGCCCGGGCGGCGGCGGCCTTTGGCGACCGCGTGAGTGTGCACGTGTGCATGTGTGTGTGTGTGTGCATGCTGCATGTGCTGATCTGGCGCATCTGCACATCATGGGTATTCTGTGGCCTTCAACCACCTCTCGTAAACAACACGTGTAGCATGTAGTGATGCTTGCCACAGCCCGTGCCTCGAGGTTCAAGCCTTTGGTGGAATGTGTACGAAAATCACATCAGCTGACTGGTGGCCCAAATGTTTTGCTGAGACGCCTCTCCTCAATCCCTCAAGTCCTTCCGATCCGTAGCGAATTCCACGCGACACAATCTATTCGTAGACTTGGATACGAATGTGCAAGCCGATTCCGGTAAACGGCGTAGTTCCTCCGTAAACGCCGAATGTGCAGGCCCTTACCTACCCTCACTGCCTGATGTGCCCTATCGTACTACTGTCTTGCCGATACAATGTTGCCCCACGTTGCCCAGCTGCATTGAGGCACATGCTCCTACACGTGCGCCAATAGGAAGCGACCACAGGTCTCCACACAATTCGGTAGCCAGGCAAAGCGGGAACACCACACAAGCACCGACCTGCAGTATGCAACCTCATGCAGTGATCCTCGGGACAGCACGTTGCGGAACTTCACATCGCGTTACCACACAACGCTGCGCTCGGACCGTTTTCCGCGGCCCGCCCCAATGGCGCCTGCACTGGTCGCCTGACCCTGCGGGGCGCCGCTCCGCGCCATCGGGCTTGACCTCACCCGACCGGGCCATGCCTCACCTGCCCTTTCCTTGCACTCTTCCCTTCACCTCACCTCCCCCCGCCCCGCCGCGCCTTTCGGTACCCTGCTGTGCAGTCCCCAGGCCGTGTGCACGTCGGTCAGGGGAGGTAGGTAGAAATATGAAGTAGGAAGGCGGATCAAATACATTGGGTTCAGGCCCTCCCAGAGAATAACAGAACACAGCAAAAGCATACCGATTCTTGAAATAAGGAGGCGCTTGAAACATAATGGAACCTGAGGGTCCCCAAATGCCTACTTTCAACGACCAGGGTGTAAGCTTGTTTGGCCTCGACGGACCACTGACTGAGGCGGCAGCGCTCTCCCGCGCGTGCTTACGCAGGCTCGGTGCACCAACTTGCGAGTTGCGAAAAGGAGGAGGAAGAGGAGGAGAAGGAGATGTAGGAGGAGATGGAGATGGAGATGGAGATGGAGATGGAGATGGAGATGGAGATGGAGATGGATGATGATGATGATGAGATGAGGAGGAGGAGGAGGAGGAGGAGGAAGAGGAGGAGGAGAGGAGGAGGAGGAGGAGAGATGGAGATGGAGATGGAGATGGAGATGGAGAAGAAGGAGGAGGAGGAGGAGGAGGAGGAGGAGGAGAGGAGGGAGGGAGGGAGGGAGGGAGGGAGGGAGGGAGGGGGAGGGAGGGAGGGAGGGAGGGAGGGAGGGAGGGAGGAGGAGAGGAGGAGGAGGAGGAGAGAGGAGGAGGAATGGAGGATGAGGAGGAGATGGAGGAGGAGGAGGGAGGAGGAGGAGGAGGAGGAGGAGGAGGAGGAGGAGGAGGAGGAGGAGGAGGAGGAGGAAGAGGACGGAGGAGGAGGAGGGGGACTCAGACCGTTTGACTAGCCGCCGGCCGAGGCACGCCTGGGGCCACGGGGCCCCGACTGAGCCTCCCTCTGCCTGGCCGGAGGCTGCTGCCCGGCCCTGCCGTCCCACGGGGCGACGACGGAGAGAACGACGACGACAGCGACGACGAAGAGAACGACGACGACGACGACGACGACGACGACGACGACGACGACGACGACGACGACGACGACGACGACGACGACGACGACTGCTCCCGCAGGACGACGACGACGAGAACGACGACGACAGCGACGACGACGACCCGACCTCTCCCGAGGCTCGCTTTGGCTGGAACTTCGACGGAGATCCGGCCGTGGCGGCGCAAAGCCCCCCCCCTCCCTCCCCACGGAGGCCCAACGACCAGAGGCCTCGACCTCGAAGTTCTCCAGCGACGACGACGACGACGGAAGTGAAGACGAAGACGACCACGACGACGACGAAGACGACGACGAAAGCGACGACGAAGAAAGCGACGACGGCGACAACGACGACGACGACGACAGACGACCTCCCTGCAAAACTCGATCCACCGACCTCTCTCGAGGCGCACTTTGACTGGAACTTCGACGGACCTCCGACCGTGGCGGCGAGCGCCCCCCCCCCCCTTCCCCCGGCGGCACAACGACCAGAAGCCTCGGCCTCGAAGTTCTCGGGCGACGACGACGACGAAAGTGAAGACGAAGACGACCACGACGACGACGACGACGACAACGACGACGACGACGACATGTCCTCGGCCAGCGCCGCAGCGCACTCGGCTCTGCAGAGCACCTGCTGGGTCTACATCTCTCTCTCTCTCTCTCTCTCGCTCTCTCGTTGCCGTCTGTCCTGACGGGTCGGGGTTCAAGGATGAGGAGAGTGGAGGCGTGAGGAGAGAGGAGAGAGGAGTGAGCAAGCCGAGGAGGATTACCAGGATCACCGCCTTCACAAGAGTAAAAACCGACAACGAACGAGGCTCAACCTTTTGGGAACACGCCTCGAGAAGTCCGAACAAGGTATCCCCGACGAGTCTTGGTGATGGGTACCTGACAAGGCTTACCTAGTCCCCGGGGCAGGGACTTGCCGAAGACGCCACAGGTTCGACGGTACCACAAACCAAGAGACACGTGATAATGCATGGCGACTGAGGGGTGGGCACAACCTCCAGCGATAGGCATCCTGCGTCCTCGAGGGAGCCTCTGAAGCCTACCGTCGCCGCCCTGAAGATTAAAACATGCGCTTTCTG